ATAGTGTATTCTTTACTGTATACATCTTGCATAAGTGAAATGCATTTATTCAATTTTCGGCGAAGCTGCAATATCTCCCGGCAGGGTTTCTTCAATGCACTCTCATTGGGAACAATACTTGGTATCGAGGAATCCAGCCAAAAGCAGCTGTGACACAGTCAAATTACTTTTTCAACTAAAAGAGGTAAAACTGATATTGTTAAGTGTGATTTACTTGTAAACTGAGGAACAAAAGTGTAACAGTAGTGTATCACATCCCAAAGGGTACTCTTTGTGTTGTAAAGTTTCTGTAGGTACAAGTGGAATTCATGAAGTGTGCATCCGAGTGCGTCCCACTCGTTCAGATAAACAAGACTTGTTGGTCTACAACGTGATTGCTGTGAAGCCGATCATCCACAAAGTACTAGGTAAAGTCAAAAACCTTTTCTTTTTATTGTCTTGTACTTTATCAGTCTTATTCTTGTTCTTGTGGATAGATACTGTTGCTCTCCTATTCGTATTTAGCATAAGTCACAGTGATTGTCAATATGGCTGTTGAAAGTAGCCTAAGAAAAAGCAATAAAACACTATATTCTGCAGTCACAAGGGCTTCAGCCAGAGAAGGCGAAAACCCAGGGACACCACCCCCTTCCTGCATACCGATCCTAGAGACTCATGTAGGTCTCGCCTGTTCTGATACTACGCCTGCTTTGCCACAGTCTAGTACTGAAACGGCACAGGTAATTCCAGGTGGATAGGATACTACATCTGCACCCACTGAAAGCCAGTGCGTGAAACACAGCAAAACAAAAAGGAAACGCTCAAGACGTCATAAGACCAAGAAAGAGCCATCAAGGAAGAGAGACGAACGTCAGGCGTCTAGTGTCATCGTTTCGAAAACTGACTCAGCATTTGAATGCAATTTTTGCGAACGATGGGTATACTGCCATTGTGACAAAGGGTGCCGAAATCATACTACGAGTTTATGCGAAATAACGCATGCCCATGGTTTTGGTACATCTGTCCATTTTGTCGCCCTGGCACAGTCTCACACAGCATATCTGCGGATAACAGAAACAACACACCACCCTTATGTCTCAACACAGTCTCATGTAGCTCCCCACCTGCTAAAACCACACTACAAAAACCTGGTACAGGCAGTAAGAAGGACACTTCAGTCCAACTGACTGGAAATGATAATCTTGTCAAGGTGAAGAGTCCTAAGTTTGCGCCCACAACATCAGGGAAAGATAGAATTGTAAAAGTATTACTTGCATCCACTAGCAAGCTTGGCAACACAGTAAAGTCTGGTCAAAACCTGATGAAGCCTAAAGTTACTGGCGCTGCAAAAAAATGCAACCAGCCAAAGGCCAAACCCAAGTGTGAGGTCAGTCGATCTAATTCTCTTATCCTTTTCAATGTACCTGTGAGCAAGGATAGCTTGCTTGAACAACGGGCCATGTTTGATCAGAAACAGTGGTCCAACTGGTGCAATAATTTGGGTCTGAACATTAGCTCAGGAAAATTGTGCAGGCTGTACAGGGGTGTCCACACGCCTAAGGGTAAGCCACCCCCATTAAGGGTTACACTGGACTCTGGGGAAGAGGCCGAAAGAGTACTATTAATGGCTCAGGTACTAGACATCGACAGAAGTTCTAGCATAAGTGTGAGACATGACAGACCATGGGCTAGCAGACAAATAGCTAGGGAGTCACCGGAACTGATGCCTTCTACCTCTATGGTGATACACGGTGTTCCGGAGCTGGAAACGAGCACTGCTTGTGAAAAACACATGCATGACGTACAGCAATGGAGATGGCTGTCATCTCAGATGGCCCTTGGTGCTTCTGGAGCAATCTCAATTTTCCGGCTACCTCGCCACGCTCATCTCACACCAATTAGCTCTTCACGGCTGCTTAGCGTCACATCCAACTCCCCAGGGCAGTTAGCCATAGCACTTCAACGGTGGTATGAGATCAAGGGAAGAATGGGAGGACACATCCGATGTTGTCAAAGCAGACCCCGAACCATAAGGAGGCAGTAAACTGAGGCTTTGATACGTCCCTAAGCCTCAATGACACTAGAGTGATGCAGTACTGAGAATAACAGTCTGTGTCACTCAAGTGTCCTACCTAAAAAACACTACAACTGGCCGGTTCCATCGGAATCGGCCAACTGGTCCCAACATTGAGTCCCCTACCAACAGACAGCTTCACGTCAACTACGCCACAACACACTGAGGTCGTGAGACTCACTGTCAGCTGCCTATATAGCAATGTGGGGGGCTGAGAGAAAAAGTAGGCGAACTCCGAAATCTCCAAGCTTAAAATAACCATTCTCACTGAAACCTGGCTAACCCCCACTATCGCCGGCGACGAAATCAGTATAGGTAGCATCTACCGATCACTCACCTGTGGGGCAGAGCACAATCAGCTACTGCTCAGCACTATCATAGGAATACGAGACTTGGGCTATAACCAAATCACCATAGCTGGAGATTTCAATGCCCCATCACTGAACCTTGGCTCGAGGTATGCTAAGGGAAAATTTGGGCGAAATCTACTACAAACTATTCGGAACATGGGAATGACTGAGAATGTTGGAGACGACACTAGTTGGGGCCCTAGTGGAAAGTCGTCGAAACTAGACTACATTCTAACTAGTGACCAACTACTCGTCGAAATGGTCCAGATCATGACTCCTCTAGGAAGTAGTGACCATGTATTCATAGGTTTCGATGTCATTCTGCGTGAGCATTTGCAGTGGGACGTTACGCGACCATGTCTGTGTTATAGCAAGGCCGACTATACTGAAATGCGGAGGCTCTCGTCCGACGCAGACTGGCCCTTAGCATAGGATGGGCTATCTGTAGATGAACACTGGGAAGTGGTGAAAAAGATTATTCGTACAGCAATCTCGGATACCGTCCCCTTAGTCACAACACAGCCAAAAAGTAAGTCATCGTGGTTGAAGAGAGGCACGCAGCGTATTCTGTAAGCAAAGCGGAAAGCTTGGTTTACATGGCGCCTATCGAAGTGTCAGATCGACCACGACGCATACCTGGAACTCAGGAATCGGTGCAACGCGAGAGTCAGGAGTGACAGGGGGTCATTCCAGGCTAACCCTGACAAAAACTCCCAGCAAACCCCAAAAACTTGTACTGATTCATGTCGGAAAGAAAACCAACCAGGGAGCATACGCCTTAGTAGGCCCAAACGGTCAATATCTCACTAATCTGGAGATGGCTGAAACATTCAGTTTAGCCTTCACCAAACAGCTAAACAGCAATATGGGTATTACCGTTACGGACCAAGATGGTGGTACTAGTATTTCACAGGAGGAAGACCTAGTGGCTGCTCCCCAAATAAACCCAGCAACAGTACCAGGGAAGCTACAGCGACTCACACCTGGAAAGTCCCCAGGTTGTGAAGACATCGGACCATCTGTTCTGAAACAGTGCGCCGAAGCTCTCTGTAGGCCCTTATGTGACTTGTTCCAACACTCACTGGATTCGGGGAAACTGCCAAGGGAGTGGAAAAGAGCCATCCTTTCTCAGATCTTCAAGGGTGGGGATAGGCAAAATGCCACTAGTTATAGACCAGTAGCTCTACTCCCAGTGGTATCGAAAGTACTGGAAAGTATTATTGACGATTACATCAGGGAATACCTCGATAGGTCTAATATACTCAATGAAGCCTAACGCGGTTTCTGGAAAGGCAGATCCTGTGTTACTAACCTGCTATCAGCTTGAGACGATTGGACATCATGCTGGGATATGAATGTTCCAGTCCATGTGGTCTTTCTAGACTTTGAGAAGGCATTCGACACTCTTCACCATGACCTTCTCCTACACAAAATTAGCCAGGCATGTATAGGTAAACCACTTCTATCATGGTTGAAGGACTACATAGCTGAAAGGCACTTTTGCAATGAGGTCAATCGAGTCCGATCATCTTGGCACAGATCATCACCAGGAGTGTCACAGGGTTCTATCCTAGGACCACTGATGTTTTTGGTTTGCATCAATGATCTACCATGCCGTCTAAGCTGCCCGACTTTTGTATACGCTGACAACGTAAAGATATGGAGGGCGATAAAGTGTCCGGAGGACTCAGATAGGCTGCAGGAAGATCTAAATCTTCTGGAAGACTGGGAAGTGGCCATTGACATGACTTTTTTAACCTGAAAAAGTGCAAAGTAGTGAAGTTACGCACCTGTAGACTGCAGAATGCAAGTTATATCCTGTGCAATGAACGCTTGTCCTGCACAACGTCGGAACGTGACTTAGGTCTAGTTCTAACGAAAAAAATAGACACAAGCGTAAATTACACGGGGGATGTAGCGAGGTCATACACTTTACGCATAGACAGCTAGGTGCACTTACTCCTGAGCTCTTTCTAAGGTTGTAGAAAACATACGTCAGACCACACCTTGAAGTGCATAATATTATTGCACCCCCACTACTCAGAAGAGACTCCAACCTCTTGAAAAGAGTCCAACGACGGGCAACAAAAGGAGTGTTTGGTCTCCGAAATAAACCATATAATGAAAGGCTGAAGAAATTGGGCCTATTCACACTTAGCTATCGTCGTCTTAGGGGGGATTTAATTACTGCCTACAAAATAACAAATGACCAGAATCACCCAAACGAAGGTGTTCTGCCATTGAGTAGGTATGCACTTCCTCATGGAAATCCTAGAAGGTTAGCTCACCAGAGGGCAAGGACCCTGGTGCGCTCCCACTTCTTTTCCCTACGGGTTTGCCATCCCTGGAATTCCTTGCCGGCAGATTGCATCGACAGTCGAGTGGTGGGACGAGTTACGCAGAAGTTTACAGAAGATCAGGAACGTATACCTCACAATCAAGAGGCGATCACAAAGAAATCGGATTGGTTTATACTTGCTCGTATTAACGGTATTGAATGCTATGTTCGAACATTGTGTATAACATTGGACACAGTACATATTTATATGGATACCTATGTCCTTGATACAAGGTGATGTCAAACAGTGCTGTTTCAAATGGATGACCTTCGGAGTGTTTTTCGAGAGACCGTTGTTCTTATTAAAGACGGATTCTGGTCACAAAGTGGTGCGTTTTTCACTGAAAGAGTAAGAATGGTATTCTGGTACATGAACGCTATTCAGTATTCATCTGAAGATTGGAGTTTCAATGTTGGTAATCCTCATGAAGCTTTCATGGATATTCAAAAAAATCATGCAGTAATAAAGCCGTGTGTATCGAAATTTTACAAATTCAGTAGCGTTACTTTATTGCCGTCATTGAGAAATGAGTTTGTCTGTAAGTGTGATTTGAAAAGATTTGTGTTCGTATATTACCCAGCTAGCAAGGATTTCGGGCGCATTGCAGACTTTTTCCATAATATAATTTCCATAATATACAATTAATTGTGAAAAATTAATTTTACATATATTGAAGTGAATACTGGATAATTTTGTCATATTTTGATGCTGAATTTTAACTGTTCTCTGTAACAAGTTTACTGCTAATGTCACGTCATACATTATACTATATAATGCGAATACTGTGGTAAAAGACCATATGCGGTCTTTTTTGACAAATTTGTGGCTTTTATTGCTGAAAAATTCTGGCAAAGTTCAACAATAGCGTCCGAAGGCATGCGAACGCCTCAGTCAGAGAATGCACCTGGGTAATTTGGACAAAACGTGGGCTAATCGGGTAATTTTGATCGGCGAATAGGTGGTCAAAAGATGGTGTAAATGCTACATTATTTACCCACTTTACCCATATTGGCCACTTTTTCCCTGTTCACCCACTGTTTACCCACTACTGCTATTTTCGTGACGAAAAAAGGCCCTTATTTTCCCATTTAACCCACGTATTATTAGGATTAATTTGCCTATTTTTCCAACCAGTTGTCTAAAGAACTGCTTACACATTGTCGTTCTTTATAGTTACTACTGCAATCGAATTTACCACATTTACGAGCTCAGAGACCACTGCCTTACGAATCTTATACCTCATTCAATGCTTATGCCACTGATATAAAACAAGGCCAACACTGTTAGGGAATTTTACATTTTATACAGTGAAATGTCGGTTTGAAAAAAAATCAGTAACCGGATGAAAGATTCTACAAAATGACTTCATAAATTATTCTGAGGACATTGATTGGCTGGACCCAGGTTGAATGATGGAAACAGTTGAATACGCGTCAACTACCATTAAGTGCATAAAAAGAGGAATACTTTTCCCTAAAAACTACCTCTTCTGGTGAGAAATTCAATATTTTCCGAATACGTTGATCATGGCACCAATTTTTGGTTGCTTTGACTATCGCTTTGAGTGTGTCCTCCTCTGCGGACCCAAGTTCTGTTTGCTTACGAATGATAACATCTGAATTTGTATCAGGTATACAATGTTCTGATTCCAATTATAGGCTGGAAAAATGTGTAGTCCCGGATACCAGTCTTTTCTGCAGTACCCTTATAAGTCATCAGTCTTGCTAAGCTTTTATTGAGGACTACACTCAGCAAACGGCGCGTGGATGTGGTTGCGTCATTTTGCACCTTAAATGAGAGTTGGCACATCTGAAACGAATCAATTAAACAAACTTGGTTGAAATTCCTTACTATTTCCTCAAAATACTTCCTTTTTTCAGGTTTACGTCCGAAAATTTGAAGCATAGCCAATGATTTCACCGGTAGCTTGACATCGTGTTCGCCATCATTGTTAGTGGCCAACGTGAAGTTCAGACGCTGAATTAATTTCGTGTGCGATTCACATAGCCTGTCAACACAAGCTGTTTAATAATTATAGGATAAACATAAAATAAGACCGAACTGCACCTGTTAGCCCTTTTATAGCATTCGTCAATTCCTGGAGAGCGTTAGTATCCTTGGGTGACCTGAGAAAGAATGGCTAATAAGTTTGGTATAACTTACATAACGGGTGTACTTGTAGTAGCAATCATCTGTACACTACTCTTCGACATTAATCCAAAACTACTTCATTTTAATGTAAAGTTGAATATCTGTCATACCTGGTATTCGTTTTCGAAACAGGGGCACCACTATCAAGGTCTGCATAATCTGGGTCCTCAAAGACATTGCACTGGTTATCCATCAGGTAAGATGGGTAGTTGTCACTTACGAAAAGGTCATTTTTCGGTGCACTAATTATTGAGTCAAGTATTAAACGATTTTTACGTTCTTCGACGCTTTTGTGTGCAGACTACAGTAGATTTCGAGGACTGACTGCAATTGGTAGTGCTGTAGGTTCTTTTTAATGCCTTGTGCTTTGGAAGTGCTTCTTGCAAGTCATCTGGAGAAATAGTTGAGTAGCGAAACGGCTAACCTGTTTCACAAATAATCTCACATTGCTCCATCTTCCAGTCAACTTTCGGGTATTCCTCCTCATATGCAGTATCACAAGGAGTTTCATCTACAAGACATTCATCAGCCTCGTCGCTGAAATTGGGAAGTATTCTCTTGGCAACGTCACCGAGCAACTACAACTTCAATATTTTATTTCTTCTATACACTGTGGATCGGTGACATGTGTCTTTTTCAAGCAAAACTGAAGCACCAGGTCTATATTAAAAGGAATAAAGTACTTCTAAGACATCGACGGAGGGGGGAAGTTAACATTACCCACACTTGGTACTACTTCACTTTCAGTATCCATTTTATTAGCTTAAAATAGACATTACACTATCAACACTTAACTTACCAGGTTAGGAGTGCACGAGAATGAATTTGAAATCGCGTCTTCAGAAGTTAACATTCACATAAACAAACGTGTTATAATGATTGAAATGAAATAGTCAGACTTTGTCTTCATGCAACTTCCCAATGAATAAATACAGATTATATAATATTCGGGCTGAAATGTGCCTCACCTCATGCAGTTCAGATGGAAGTATGTTTGCGCTACAAAAACGAAATCCTACAATTCTTCCCACTTTTTCCGTGTTTCCCATATTTTCTCGCATTACCCGCGTCTCCAGAAAATAGTTGCCCACGTTTTCCCACTTTGCCCATGTCATTTTGAAAATAGCCCACTTATTCCCACTTTACCCATGTTACAACCGAAAACAGCCCACCTTTTCCCACTTTGCCCAAATTTGAGCGGAAAACTGCCCACGTTTTTACCTACATATCCCAGGTCAAAAAAATTAACCGACTGGGGCACGAGTGGCCTTCAGCCGACCAATCATAAAAATAAGTGACTTCTGCACAAAAACTGACGTATATTTACAAGAAAATGCATGAAAACACACTAAATAGGTCATTTTTCTCTAATATGACTTAAAAATACTTTCCAGTTGTAATGAGGAGTATCAATTGCTAAGTTAGATTAGTTTCTCTTCATGTGTTCACCGAGGTGACTGAAGATTAGCTGTTTTTGTGAAATGCTTATCTCTCTTAACCTGTTGAGCAGTCTTCCCCAAAAGCCTTCAGTTGAATTACTATGGTTTCCAGTAAGAGGATTGACGACTACTTACCAGGAAAATGTGGATAATGAAACAAATTTTAAAAAATGACATTAACTCTAAATCTATCCCTGGTCATAACCTAACCTTAATCCTGACCCTAACCCGAAACTTAACACTAACCCTAATCCTAACCGTAAACCTAACCTTAATGCTAATTATGACCCTGATCGTAACCCTAATCCCAATACTTACCTTAACCCCTATCCTAACCCTAACGAGCTAATAACACATTGTCCAAATTGTACTTAAAAATATGATCTGGGTGAAATTTACTGCTTAGTTGGTGAGTAGCGTTGATATTTCAGCCAACGACTAGCATGCATTCTTTGTCATTGGAGCGTTCGCACTCCTGGGACGCTATTGCTGAACTTCTCCGGAGCATGTGTTTTTGAACATTATTGTACATGACGAAAATGACATTATGTCATATGTATTCAGAGGTAGATACTCTTGTAAAGTGATATAATGGTTCTCTGCGAAAACATCCATAGCAAGTGAAGGTGTGTTCTTCCTATCCTGATAAATGCAGGAAACTTCCTAACCAGCTATTCATGCATACATATAAACCCGTAGAAGTTTTTGTATCCATAATTAACCAAGTACTTCCACTTCTGAAGACATAATGTTTTACAACGATAAATAAAATATCTATCTTTAAGTCTTAACATTTCATTGGAGTATATTCTTTTCATTTCACTGAGTATTCTGATATCTTTTGCATGTTGGTTTTACAGAAGCTGTAGGTACACTGCCTCAGTCTTTTTTCGAAAAATTAAATAAAAGACAACTATCGTTTTTCATCGAAATACAATGCATATTCATTCATATCATCGTAACTTTCGTCCTAATATTCCTATTACCACTGATGGCTAGTCTGTACTCTTCATCGAAGAAATATCAAATATTTGGTAGGAAGTGCTTTCTGAAACTGAGGCTGCTGGTAACTATTTATCAGTAGACGTTATTCCAGGAAAACGCTGAAATAATATATTGGTGTAGCATAAAGTTAATACTGTTTTCATGGAAAATTCGACAATATATGTACTCACATATATCTTAAACTTTCAACTATTTCTAGTTCTTTTTTATGTTGCTCTATTTGGAATGGAAAGTTTTGGCGTAAAAGGATTGAAGTGCTTTCTACTTTGCATAAACGTTCAATACTCTAAAGAAGTAGGCTTGGCGGATAACTTATATGCTGCTATAGTTTCTTAGATTTTTATGTTCACCCGAAGTCATAAGTGAATTGAAATCAGATTGGATTCATGTATATGAAGAATCATTTATTGATGCACATTTGTTAAAGCCCCTTGAAAAGTGAGTAAATTCTTAATTATCTTTTTTGATTGATTTTCACCCTTATTAGATGTCTTAACTGAAAAATACTACTACTACTAAAATAATACTGTTTCACTGTGTGATATATCAAGTATAAGAATAATACTCACTTTTTTCTAAGAGATGGTATTTACTACATTCAAATAACGACAAGTAAATGTTTTCCCTTGGCATGTCTTGCATACCTGAAATGTATCATTTTAAATATGTGCCAAATACTTTTTATTTCACACAAACAGGATTGCCACCAGTAAAGTACGTAGTTTAAACTTGCCCCAGTCTAATTTGGGGGCTGTCTTATAACTAGTGTAGTCAGAATAAGCCGTCAAGGTGAATGGTGTCGATCAAAACTAAATTAGTAGGATTTATTCCTTCCTAAGTTTCTATTGGCTTCACTCCACACTGTCTACTTTGAATTGCAAGATCAAATCGTTTTTACTAAACCATTTTATTATAATCCTCAAATGTACCCGAAAAAATGTTTTCCCCGCAAAAATATCAGAAGTAATGCAGTGCAAAATAATACAACCAGATTATAATTAATTTGTAAAATCTGCGTCGTGGATTCCTAGACGTCCTTACTCAATTTTGACTTCTAAAGGTCAGGTTAGCTGATTAAATGTCTGAGAAACTCTTGGTTTATGAAAATAGTTTTGTTATAATGATTAAGCAGTTAAAAGTAAGATGGAGACCCGAGTAATGGTAGGATCTAAATTGGTAGTATTCTCATTACTCGTATTTAATTGTACCGAATAATGGATGGAGCACTGCTCCTGGCTATGTCGTGGTGTTTATTTGATAACTTGGATAGAAATAAGTGAAATTCTGCTTCATCCGGGAAGTTACTATCAGTTTCAATACCAACCCATTAAATCAAGATTAATCTGCCAAAACTTGCACTTTGTATATACTGTTTGTAATGATGAATTTAGTTTAACCTAACAGTCCAGATATGTGTTTTATCTAACCAGGAACCACTAACAAATACTAGATTTTATGCATACAGAATTTTTATTTGTAATAGTTATGTCTTTGTGGACTGATACACACGTGTAATTCGTTTGTAAAGAGAAGACAAGATTACTTATGATCATTGGTCAACACAGTATTAACATTAGAGCTAGAAAATAAATGTAGGACATATCACGCTTCGTTGCTTTTACATGCATGTAAACCAGTTTGGGTTTAACAGTCTTTTACAGTTAAAAGAATGGCGCAATATACTATGATTATTCATATTTCGTTGCTTTTTTTAGTAGGAATGTTTTCAACATATAACAATGTGAAGTTTTAGGCTGAGGAGATCAGTTTCAGAATCTTGATTCTGAAACATTTCAATGAGGAAATTATAATGGTACCAGGAGCACTGACCATTAAATATTTTGGTCTTGACAGATTCATTGAAACACACAGTTTCAATAGCACTGTGTATCAAAAGATACTAAGCTAAAGATACTGATCACAATTGTTTAAGTCCTGAGAAAAATTAAGTAGAGAAGTCGGTATTAGAGCAAGTTCATTTTGTAATTAGAAACAGTCCATTTCTATGTAGACACTTCAAGGTCATACATCTGAATTCACATGATTACGTACATAAAGTTAGGCATATGACAACATATCATTATCTAATAAGGAGAATATAATTTCATTTTTGTGTATTTAGAAGGATAAAGTATCAGTACCATTGGTTTTTAGGTAGCTGTTCCATTTGCTTTCGAAAAATGCAGGCTACTTGATTTGGAGACTCCTCTTCAAATGCTTGCAAATAGTCTACAATGGTTCAGACGTAATAATTCTTCAGCACCATTAAAAATCGGAGGACGCACACTGATCTTCACCCAATTATTGTTTCTGTAACATTTATATTTTACCTCTGCACTATTACTCCATTTATGTTAACATTTGAAATAGAACACTCCTGAACAAATTGTAAAATAAGTCCGCATGTCTGTTTGTCAACATATTTCGGATATTTGTCTAGTCAGTTATTTCGTTTGAATACCTGATGGTTTGTAGATAATGCCTAGCATAAATTTCATTCAACTTTGCATTATACAATGTCTAGATGGAAACCAGTGTTTATGAATCTCGAGAAAACGCTTGGTTCGAAACAAAACAAATTACAACACAAGAAAGTCACAGGTAATAACTTCATTATAAACATTTATTTTCAACAGAAGTTCAACCATTCAAACTAACTCAACCAAGGCCTCGATCAATACTTATACCAGAAATAGAAGTATTGTTCAGCATAAAAAAGTTGACGTAAATATTATTTGTAGATTCCAAAAATGGAAAAGATGCGTGAACCTCCAAATTCCACTTATACTCAACCTCCGGAAGTGTCTTTATTACTTGTGAAGAAGGAAAAGAATCGTGAATATGTGAGTTTTTAGATTATAGTTAATAATCAAAAAAACTGTTGCTTTTTGGTATATTGAGAAACAATTTTGAAGGTCCTGAATCAAGTCGGTGGTTGGTGAATAATAATTATTCAGATACTAGCAATGTTTCCACTTATTTATTTAGATCTATAACTAATAGTGGGAAAAGGAGTGTAAACTAGCTTCTTTATCATTTTCTCTTGTATACACTTGACTAAGATTGTATTTTTAGCTGCAATTCATATAAATGCACATATCACTATAATATTTATTATCAAGGTTACCTAGAAGGTTTACAGATAATAACACTTTGAAATAAAGTGTAAATGATTGGAGTAAATAGAACATTTAAGTGAATTAAGTAGATCATTTCTTATTATCTTTCATGAGAATGGTTACTGAACAAAGAATACTCTTTTCGATAACTTCATCATCAGGTTCTACAGTTATATATACATAATAATGAATGAATTAGTGTTATGAACAATATTAATGTTTAAATAATATCAAATCAATGATATTGATAAATTACAGCTGAACAGCATCAACATAACAATAAACTGAATGTCAAAAAATTAGGAAAGATAATAATACAAATTCATGAATTTATAGTCTGTACTGAAGGCTGGCCAGGGCAGTAGTAGTGGCTGGACTTGCTTCTTTTGCACACAAAGCACTGGTTGTTTCACGTGAATTGCGATAGCCTCTGTTGTTTGGAGCTTGTGGTACCTGAATTTTTTCAGTAATTCATTTGGTACCGGGTAGATGATAGAGAAGGATTCTTGAATGCTGGTTTTGTGGCCGATTTGGACCAGATGGTCTAATATCGAACTGTTGATGGCTTTTACTACACCTTTACTTAGCCATAGTGGGAGATGTTCTCGAGCACGAAAAATCAAGTTCCTAGAACAATGGCCGATATAACTCGCTCCACTGCAAGCGCAGTTGGATTGGTAGATACAATTGAATATCTAGGTACTTCATCTTTCAATCGAGTTCGCTTAATAATGGTTCAGGGGTAGAGTGCCTGCCAGCTACGCACGTGGTCCGGGATTCGATCCACAGCCGATAAACTCCTAAACCTAGCGATCTCACCCGGTATAAACAACACCATAGCTGGTGGAACTTGGAAAAGTTTGACGCCCTATGTTCCAGTTGGAACGCAAGGAACGAAGAAAACAAGGATTAAGTAAAATACCTAACTAAATTACATAAATTCAAATTAATAAACTATTTTTTATGCTAATCATGATTTATTATCACTTTTAAATTCTAAAAGAAGACAAATTTATGTTAAGTGAATACATTATTCAGTAATGACTTTTATTATTTTGAATTATTTGCTTCTATTTCATCTTTATAAATACATCGGGAGGGAGGGAGCGTGACATCTAGTTTAAAAGATATCAAATGGTGGATTGATACTACAAAAATATGCTTGTATCTTTACTGTCACCGTTCAAGTCGAATAGTTTTGATTGTTCAATTAGTGGACGATTGATCACTTTCAGGTTTACATTTTAGCATGAACCGATGTCAGTTAGATAACGATAAATCCACTAGAGCCTCAAAGGCTGTGTCGTTTTCACATCTTGAATTCTTCATTAGCCACTGCTTGAGAGCTAAAGAGATATCGACTCGACGGTTCACAGGTGTAGATGAAGGCATTTATGATGCTGCCACTGAGATGGGATCTCATGATTCATGATTTCCAACTTCTGCTTAATTGTTTTCATTATTTTTTACTGGTAACTAAATGCGCATGTTAAGATTTTCTTCATATAAATCATGAGGACGTATAAAATGTTGTAGTACTACTCATCCACTTCGTGTTGTTATCATTTTGAGTACCTGTTGAACACTAACTAGACAGGCTGATATATCGTTTGGTTGACGTTTCCAAGTGTTTTTCTTCTGTTTGCTTTTTTTCCTGACAGATTAAATTATTTTTTAACAGGCTACTGAAATACTTTACAGTAGTTAAAGTGGAGTCTTTTGTAGTTTGACTGTTTGTTTTTGATTTTCATACCTGGTTGTTTATTTATGAGATCAGTGTCCAGTCATACTTCATGTTTTGTTCCATTCATATAACTTAAACAGAGTTGAAAAAAGACAAAATAAGCCGTACGCAGCAACTGGGATGGTAGGCTGTAGGTCATTGTATCCCACAGCAAACGGTTACAATATAAAATCGTCTACACAACAAAGTGATTCGACCATAAATTTCACGAGGTGAATCTGTTATAAATCAACTTGAAATCATCAGTGAGGCAATTATTGTGAATCTAACTACTATAAACTTAGCACTTAAAATTTGACAGGGATAGTAGTTAGTGTTGACGATGGTATCCAGGAAGACAATGAAAGCTTCGCAATTAAAGGATCCAGTTAAAAGAACACAACAATAACAACAGTAACACCCACATGAGATTTAAATATTCCTCACTATTTCTGCAATTGAAGTACCTGGATACATAACACACATTTTAAACCAAGTAAATTGAAGTTGTCCAGAGAAGTGCATGCAGTTCTGAAAACGTTATCACAACTAGATCTAGTATAAGCTGAAATGTAGACTGTTTGAACCAAAATGACAAATTTCTTAACACTTTTGAAAATATCGTAGTTCGGATGTATACTGCAATAATTCGTAGCTGATAATTTTTGTTGAATAAATTTGATCTTTTCTTGGGAAATATTTTTCAGAAATGTGTTAATTTTTTCTTATTTTCACATATCGAAAAGCAGATTGAAAAATTAAAAGCTGAGAGTGATAGGCTTAAGCCAAGATGTGCAGAACCAACTGCTAAGAGTGTAAAACAGGTCAATGCCACAGGTGATTTAGATTTAAATGTCAATAACTGTGCTATGATCACTACAAAAGAAGAAGATGCAGATAATGCAGGAAGTAATAAAAAGAAGAAATTGAAGTGTAAAAATTATGTAAATGCATTAAATACATCTACAGTGATAAATACAAATGCTGTTACTATCCTACGTGAATGGAAACTCTACTTGGATAAAGAAAAGGAGCAAAGAAAAAAGTGAGATTTACTTAATATTTTTCTGAGAATAAAAAAAGAGTTGAACATCTTGTTTCATATAGTATTCATTTTACATGTAGAGAATTAAAACAAGCGATTCAGAGAAGACAGTCTCTTCAGCGAATTTATTATCAAGCTGTGAATTACGACTAAGCATTTGTGATTATAATCGTAGTTAAACATCAAGCAACAAAATACGTTATGCACTTGATGCTGAACTATGATTATAATCACAAACAATTCCTTGTATTTCATATTATTATTATTTTAAGTATTCACACCTTTAATTCAAATTTAGATTTTTCCCGTCGATTGATTGGACCGAAGTGCTCGGTCTCAGGTTGACATGTCGGCTTCTTGTGCAGAGGCTTCGATGATGTCTGAGCATATAATTAGAAGTTAATTGGTGGATGGTGACTAGCAGCGGAATCCAGGATGCGCATTTCGTCCTATTTGGGACTCGTCAGCTGGATATGCCTGCATTCCTCAGTGAGTGATGATGTTCCCACCACCTAGGCTCGAACCCAGTCCCCATAGTTTCAAACGCCCAAATAAGAGGAAATGCGCATCCTGGATTCCACTGCTAGTCACCATCCACCAATTAACTTCTATTCACACCTTTATCTAAATTTCCCCTCTGGATATAGTTTTTTTTCAAAAAATCCATAAATACACAATTTTCCAGCTTGATAATAATTTCGTTGAAAAGAGCCTCTTCTCTGATTATTGTGTTTACTGTTGAAACATCACATGACATGCTGGGAATTATGATACGATAACATTACGAAGCAGTTATACTGAATTAAATAAATAAATGTGACAGGTTAGATAACGCCGTAAATTGTTCAAGGTGAAAATAATAATAGTAATAACAATCGAAATAATAAGGGAAGGGCATACAAACGGAATAAACAAAACAAAGAAGAAATAGGGCTAGGGTAGAAATACGGATTATAATAGTTTAGCACATTGGGACCATGAAAGAAAGAGTGGTTGAATAGGCTTTTTCTGTAAACAAAGATCTGGCCAAAGATGGCCAAAGCTTCAACAGTGTAAATGAATTGACAGTGAATGATTTTGGCAAGTTATTTTTCATCTTAAAGGAAGAGACTATTGAGATAAGATGACCAGTATTTAGCAGATGTTCATTTATTACACTTCTCATAGCCCCCCCCTTCCACCTCTCTTGCACCCAAATATTTGAACAACTTCCGATATTATCTTACGTGTCACCTTTATCTATTTAATTCAATATAACTTTTTTTCAGTGTTGTCTTATCATAATTCTTACCTTGTTGCGTAATGTTTTAGTCGCCTAGTAATTTCATTAGTTCTCCACTCCCTTCTAAAATTATACCTTTCATGAATCATCTTATAAAGTACATAACCTATTTCCTTGCTCGGTGTTTAACAACGATTCACAACATTATTAAAATTTCACATTTATATTTATGTTTGTTGAAAAGAGCCTCTCTACCGAATCAACTGTTTTAGTTTCCCATTATATCCTATTGGAATTTACTGTGAATCGTTTTAGCAGTTTAAAAGTAGCTAAAAGAACGTATCTTTGCTTTTATAACCACTGAAAATAAAAAAGAAGTGAACTTGCTAAATGGAAGGTTTAGTTAGTTCTGTATTTTTGATTACGGTGTTGATGATATAACTATGAAATCAGCTTGTTTTACTTTTCTAAATCAACATGAAGCAAAAATGGAGTAAATGCGCAAACTGATGTCTCTATGGTAATTTATGCGCCACTTTTGTTTATGTGAATAATTTAACTGTACAGTTTGAAATGTACTGCAGATTAGAACAATCTCCTTCAACTTTTTGGCGCATTAGGTTGTGACAAATAGATTACACTATTAGTCATCTAATGGTAACGTTGTTCTTGAATAACTCAGAGGAAGTATCTCTAACAACAACACTAATTTATATGCATTAGAATCTCAGTGAAGATCTCGGTTTCATCGAGGCTTTATACATACCTTTCTGATAAGCATGAAATCCTATCGATTAACTCCGAAGTTCAGTAAGAAGTCAAATGTTTGCACTTCCAGTTTCTTCATTGGTGGATTTATATTGTAACCACCAAAAATAAAGAAGATCAGCTTCGTGTTTTCACACTGTTTTGTTATTCTGAATAAAGACATGTAAAGACGCATAGGTTTTGGTTACTGAGGAGTTTCATGAACAGACGTTATCAGTGTGCAATTAGTCAGTAGAATTTGTTGCACTCTTTGTCTGCCCATTAAGTAGCAGGTATTAAGATAAATCATTAAATTGCTATTTATGAGAGAGAAGAATGCTACTTATCTGTTGAGGTGAATAGAATCCGCTTAGAGGGTAACTTCAACGATTACCTAATTAGTTACGTAATAGAATACAGTCTTGTGTGTTTTTTAAAGTGTATACTTGGACAATTTTAAGGAAAAACTGATTTGATTAAAGGTTTACAGAATATATAGTTGGGTAGCCTAAACTGTAGACCAAGTGTTTTAATAACCACAAAATAATTTCATTCAAAATTCCCACAGGGCATTTTAATAAAATTATTCAAATGATTTCAGAAAGGATATCCTCACCTTTATTGGTATAAAAAGATGATGGCGGTAAATAAGGCTGAAATAAATAAATTAATTCGCGAATATTTCCCTTTTGCTGATATCACTGGGAAGTTAATTCCTTAAAATTCTAATGATCTTTTAAGTATGGTAGGATGTCAACGGTTGCACAAGATACGCTGTATGTAAACACAAGTTTCTGCTCTATAAATCCTAAACGACTTGTTTTACTGAGACTGGAGACACATGATAACACCAATATTGATCGTTCAGAATACAAGATATATATTGGAATCAGAAACGTTCAGTGATAAATGTTTAACTAACTAGGGATCGTTGACGAACGACCGAATGTGACACGACAGCGTGTCGAATGATGTGGGTGCTTGATAGCATACCTTCAGCTTAACAAGTCGACTTAAACAGTGAAGTTCAGCATCTAGTGTCTAGTGAAGGGCGCTGTAGACTAATATTTCTCGGGAATTATTTACCTCTACGACCTACATTCTGGTGGTGTTTAAGTATATCGAATTGCAGCTGTCTTAAGTTAGATATCATGGTCACTAGGTATTTCATCGTTTATGTTAAAATTAGGATTTCCAGGCTGAGTATTTGTGTTCATATCAGTAAAACGATGGTTCATTGTGGAGTAGATAAAGTTAATTATAGCTATATTACAGTAGTTTACACACAATGATAAGTTTTTTGTTTTGGTAATATTTTGAGCAAAGTGACTGCCTGTGATCATACCAACTGTTGAAGTTGCTTTTTAATGCACACTAAAATCAACTAAAAGATTCGACAAAAGTAATGGATAAGAGTAATGTAACTTACAAAATATCTTGTGTTAAATGTCCAACTAAATATGTGGGTCAAACGTTTAGATCATCTAAAATAAGAGTGAATGAATATAAACGTCTAATTAAGGGTCATCCCACAGGAACACAGTCCTAAAGTAATTTAGGAATAAATTCGTCCATAGCTGCCCGTGTACGGGATAAAAACCACAACATTGATTGGGACGTCGTTTGTATTCTAAAATCTAATACGAGCGAATGGAAAGACTAATAACATATTCTATAACTCAACACAAACTGCCAACAACCTGAAGTGTAATCCTCGATATACAAAAGTGAACGAACAAATAATGTACTACATATATGGTTACAAATCATAAATGTCTGAATTAAAATATAGTTAACTCTAAATATTACCAAAATAAAAAATTATCTTTGTGTGTAAACTATCGGAATATAATTATAATTAATTCGACCATTCGTGGTTCACATTTTTGGGTTCAGTGTGAGTTATGCCCAGAGAAAAGGGTTAGTTTAACTTTAGATGAAAATTGGAACGAACTAAGTATATGATCATTATTATTGCTGCACCACACTACCATTCATTTACTAATTATTTATTGTCATACCGAACTCGATTTTACAGGATATTTACTTTCTCAGTGTAAGTTTGATTAGCCTTCATCTGAAGTTCATGCTGCTTAAAAATCTATTTAAACTAAAATTATGTTATACGTAATAATCAAGTTATTAATTGTAATACATGAAAAATGTCCACTGATTTCTGTGGAGACTAATGGATTACCTTTTATATTCTTTAATGATCTAAGGATGAGAAGTTAAGTTTCTTGCATTCCATTAACACACGTGAACTTCTGAGTAAAGAAATCTAAACCATCTGAACGTTAAGTCTAATAAGTGATCATCCATAAGGTAACCTATAAATTTGCCTACAGGAGAATTCACTGTCAGTGATATTTTAATTAATAGCCCAACCTAAGCATGATAACTGATTATTATTTTGAAGAAAATACTTTAAATTTCTAAAAATATCAAAAAAGATAGAAAACTTTGATTGGACGGAGGATCTCATCATGAGCTGACATCAGTTAGAGAACCGTTGGAAAACCAACTGGGAGTACTGGGCAGCTGTCTCGTCAGCCTATTTTGGGACTCTTTATCAGTACGTACTCACCGGGGTTTGAATCCAGGACCTTATGGTTACAAGGCTAGCGAGCTAGTAGACCATGAAACCAATGGGACTCGATCCAGTGGCCCATGAATTCTAACTTCTGCCAATTCACAACATAGTGCGACCACTTCACAATGTCTTCTTTGATGAGTTACTGCCTCATCTTCAACTTTCTTTTCACTTTACGTAGACTTACTGAACTGGAATCTGGAGCTTTTACAGATGCAGCTTATATGGCATGGAAAACAGAAGAAGAGGCTAAAATTAAATTGGATCAATTAAAACAAGTAGAGCGTAATCGTTTGAATGCAATGATAAGTCACGAAGCTTCATCAATAGCTAAGCATAACCTTTATTGTAAACGACGTAATAATGTTAATCAGTTAAAAAATGAAAAAAATCAAAAACTTATGGAATTAATGAAAGCAAAGAAATTGCAACAAGCTACAATGAACAAAATAGCTAAAGAAATTGCCAGTACACATGAAAATGCTAAAATTGCCAAGAAGAAAGTAATGAAAGAGAAAAGAAAATTAGGTATGTGTATTTATGCATTTTCCTTGGTGTGTCATTCAAATTTACTGGGTTTTGTAGTAGACATTAGTCATGATATCGGTGAAAAACCAAAATCATAACAGGTTACAGGATTTCATGATGAGCTGACATCGGTTAGAAAACCTCTGTAAAACTTGGGAGTACTGGACAGCTGTTTCGTTATAGTTTTGGGCTCTTCGTCAGTGCGCACCCACAGCCAGCGTTCGGATCCAGGACCTTCAAGTTACAGGACGAGCTTGTGGAGCATTTAAGCCACTGGGACTCGATCCAACGGTCCATGAATTCTAGCTACTGCCAGTTCACGACATAGCGCAGCCACTAGCCAATGTTTTCGGCGAGCATTTTTCGTCACGCCCGACCTGCTGTACCCTACTGGCTATGACTTCTCACTAGAAACCCAGGTGAGTAATATTAATGGGTAGATAGTAGATACAGAAAAGAAGATATATATTTGTGGACATAGAATTCTTAATTTTCAGTCATCTAGGAGATTTCAAATGAGTACAGAGAAGACAGAGATGATGAAGACACTATAACAACAACTATTCGCTTCAGCGGGAGAAATCTACAGGAAAGTACCTCTTTTACTTGTTTAGGCAGCATAGTTTCAACTGCAGTTGATTCAAATAAGGACATTTAAGCCAACTAGAATCGCAAAAGCAAGGCAGACCTTCAATACAAGGAAATCAGCATGTAAATCTATCGTACTCAGTACAAAGAACTAGTTGGGCATGTTTGATCCTAATGTAAAAGCAGTTCTTCTATATTGTTTAAAGACTTGGCGCTTGCGTCATGTAAAGCATTTTGAACAGGCTTTATACCTTCATCAGCAGCCGCTTTTGCTCCACACCGACAACCGAATGGTCGGACAGAAAGAGTAAGCGACAAGCAAATCTATTACCCAAGAAATATGGAGATGGATCGAACACATCCTGAGGACAACACTGAGTGACATTGCGCGCAACAGAGGCCCTCAAGCAGAACCTGAAAGGAAAAGGACAAGTTAGGCATTGGTTTGAAGGTGACATATAGGGAATCGTGAAGCCATCCCTAAAGGACTTCAGAGAACATCATGAAATGGAGATGTGCTGTTAAAGTTCTGTGTTCCACTTGGGACCCAACAAAATAACAATAATTACGAAGTCTAGTAGATTGGTGCTGAACATGTTTGGGAATCTGCCTATGAAATAAATTTGACTGAAGTTTATAAATAAACCACATGTAGTAATCGGCTTCATTACTCTACTAATAAAACCTACAAACCAGTTAACTTATTTATGGAAAATGCACACACACATATACATGTTAAACATGTTACCAAAACCCTCCCTCCTACTTTAGATTTTAAAAACATTAGTAATATAAGCTGACTTTTCGAAAATTCTAATTTGTTGTTTGGAGGCGTTTGTTGATAAAATTTGCAGATTATTTCAAAGTACTGGCGAATATTTATAGCTGCAGTACTGTCTGAGCTTGGTGAGGGAATTGAGAAGTTTTAGTAGCTGTTCTGCACAATATTATCAGTATCAATATCAAAATAAGTAAATAAAATGTGACGTAATTTTTATTTTCAAAAGAATGTTTACTGAACAAAGAATACTCTTTTCGATAACTTCATCATCACGTTCTACAGTTATATATAAACATTATAGTGAATGAATGAATTAGTGTTATGAACAACATTAATGTTGTTTAAATAACATCGAATCAATAATATCAATAGATTACAGTTCATTAGCATCAACATAACAATAAACTGATTGTCAGAAGAATTATGAAAGATAATAATACAAACTCATGAATTTATAGTCTCTACTGAAGGCTGGCCAGGGCAGTAGTAGTGACTGGACTTGCTTCTTTTGCACACAAAGCACTGTTTTTTTCATGCGAATTGCGATAGCCTCTGTTGTTTGGAGCTTGCTGTACCTGGATTTTTTCAGTAATTCATTTGGTACCGGGTAGATGATAGAGAAGGATTCTTGAATGCTGGCTTTGTAGCAGATTCGGACCAGATGGTCTAATATCGAACTGTTGATGGTTTTTCTACACCTTTACTTAGCCATTGTGGGAGATGTTCTCGAGCACAGAAAATCAAGTTCCTAGAGCAACGGCCGATATAACTCGTTCCACTGCAAGCGCAGTTGAATTGGTAGATCCGATTGGAATTGGCTAGTCTAAGTACTTCATCTTTCAATCGAGGAATCACCATCGGTCGTGTAGAGAATAATACGTGTAGTTCGCCAGCATTAAAAGTTCTTTAAACTGATTTTCTTAATTTCTTCGTAATTATTTCGCTTGGTAATTTTTATTGACAGTAGTTAGTCTAGCCCCGGCCGACGTATGCTGACCACACATGTACTCACTGATATTATTCAGCAAGGCATACTTGAATATTAAGCGAACTGATTTTACTTGCGAGAAGGAAGACCATGTCACTCAGTGTTGAATTCAGAGACTTTACTACTAAGCTGTTGATCTGACAACTGACCTCCTGTAAAACTGGAATGGATGTTTTACTCGATTTTTAGATAGTAAGTATTACTGCTGTCCAGTTAGCAGTTTACTGACTGAGATATGACAGTCAAATATATACAATCTAGTAAACTGTATTTTTCAATTATTTGTTGAGAGGAGTCTATCAGTAAAACAATAAAGTCATAAACTTTGGAACTAAATGATACAGGTTTCGATCTTAATAAGGAAACAAAGCTTCCGCCAAATTCACAGGCATGTCTCTGTAATGTGTATCAATAAATGCAAAACTTAGTTTCAGTAAATGCTGTAGATTGTCTTATCTTCATATCCATTGTGAAATTTTTGTGATCTACAATGAGCAACAGGGTTCTGTCAATGAGCTTTCTGGCATTTTGATGAAAGCTGAGGAGCACAGAAATACATTCATAACTGTTAATCAATTGGCGGTCATTTGTGTGTTTACACGGTTGACAGTTTACGATTAGTCACTTGTAAACAACAACTTGTTCTAAGTAGCAGTGAATAGATCATCACGTTTCTTTGTTATCCTTTTTGTATATGCATATTTTCCTTGAATTCTACGGGTAAGTGATGGTTAGATTTTATTGTTTTCACTTAGAGAGATTACCTTTTATTTGTAGTAAATAAAAAAATGATGTGTTCTATGGTTTCATCTGAAATTTTAGCTGCTGAAATAGTTAAAGAAAGTAAACTTCTGCTTGATGAAGCTCATAAAAAAGCTGAGGAAGAAAAGAAAATGAAAAAGGAATTGATCGCGAAAATTCAAGCTGAAGAATCATCAGCAATAATGACGAAATCATTAAATATGAAACAGGTTAGCCATGAAGGAAAATATTATTTGATCGAAAGAGTCAAAATAGCTGGTGTTATACTATTTTTTTCAGTTCATTCTGTGGATATTCCCTGAGTGAATTACTTAGATGAATTGTTTTCATATTTGCGGGAAATGTGACTTATCAAATTTAATATTTGACGCTTATACAGTTGGATCCTGACTTTCAGTTCGGTTCCACCAACTTTTACCTATTCATCACCTCTCACGCAAATAGTTGTAGCTAATAACCTGTTGCAAAAACAAATCAAAACCAAACTACTGACTTCTTAGTAACTGTTACGATGAGGTCATGATCTCATATGGATTACCCTAAGAATTCCGCTTTGGGTAAAGTTTGTTTTTCAATGACTCGCTTGAAGATTAATATTTTCATCTTTAGATGTATGGAAAAGATAATTTTACATGAGGTTTAACAGTATAAAAGTATGAGTTTTATTATCAAAATAATCCACATATTAGGGACTGGTTAACTGACTGACCTAACAGCGCTTAAAAAGTACGTATAAGAGTAAAGAAAAGTTTGATGTAGCTCTAATACATGTAAGTTTAGAGGAGACAAAGTAAGTGGATAAACATTGCTGAAGATTTTCAGAGATTGGAACATAAAATAAGCAAACGCTTCTGCCATTGCGATCTACTTTGAAACATGTTGCACTGACTCTTTGATCACTAATTTTCACCATTTTGCTGGTTTTTGACAAATAGTCTACATTCTTCTACGTGACTACGATGAAAATTCACTGTTTTTCAAATATTGGTTTGCAGAGATTTGATTGATTACTTACAGGATTTCATCATGAGCTGACATCAGTTAGAGAACCCTTGGAAAACCTCCCGGGAGTACTGGACAGCTGTTTCATTCTAGATTGGGACTCTTTAGCAGTAAGCACCCACCGGGGTTTGAACCCAGGACGTTCCGGTTATAAGGCGACCTTGTAGATCACTAGACCACTGAGACCCAATCCAATGGCCCATGAATTCCAGCTTCTCCTGATTCATGACATAGCTCCACCACTAGCCAATGTCTTCGGCGAGTATTTGTCCTCACACCCGACCTGCTGCACCCTACTGGTCACGACATCCCACTATATCATCCAGAAGGTTATCCAATAAGCAAACTTAATTTCAACTATGCATTCACCTTAAATGACACTGTACTTGCATTTCTATGTAGGTTATAAAATGAGAAGTTACAAGACTATATTTTAGCATTTCAAATTCCACTACAATTTAGTTAGACTGAGACTTTCTGGGACAGTGTTCAGTTAACCTATTGATTATATCATAGTTCTTTATCACTATCAGGGGTGTTTTTTAACGAAATTTCAAGTTTAGAAAGTCTTATAGTTTCTGTAATTTTTTAAATTTAAGTTGTTCTTACTTTAAGTAAATATAAGTAGTTAAAAGTAAAATACGTAAAATTCATTGATTTTTTTCGGATTTAAGCTTTTCACTACTATTAACGGTAGAAACTGATGTTAGCAAGAGAATCAACGAATGAACTGTGTCATTCAAATGTTCTTATTGAGAAACTAATACAGGGGATAGGCATAAGATAATGACAAATATAAGGTTATTAGTCCAAATCATTATCGAATGATAGGAAAAAAGTATACCGAAATAAATTACAGTGAACAATTAAGATTAAGATTTCTATTGTTGTTTGATTATTGAAATGATATTAAAATAAAATTAGATGTTGAGTTGTTTGAGTTGATAAATAACCACTCCTACATCTTTGGGGAATTCGCAAGCTACTGTTATTTATTGGTATAAATTATTTCTTTTAAGACATGAAGACACTGATACTGAAATGAGAATATAAGCAAACAGTTCAGCAGAAGTTCCTTTCATGGAATTCTCCAAGGATTTGTTTCTTTTGTGCTCTATTTAGTTGACATTTGATTGTTTCTGTTTTTGACCTCATTCATTACTAAATCGAATTAGCTGTCTACTTTGCCAGACTGTTTGTTTACTTCTGTGATAACAGTTGTAGATTTTTTGTAAAAGTGAATGTTGTCACTCCACTTTCACAACTATGCTTTCCTAACTTTAGTGGAGATATTTTATTTCACTCATTTAGCTAAACTAAATAAAGCTAGGATAGTACTTTATGTAATAAATACGAAAATTTTCAAGTGTTAGTTTCCAGGGATTTGGTTGATTTAAAGTTTGATCATGAACTGACTTCAGTTAGAGAACCACTGAAAACCAAGGAGTAAGAGGCAAAAGTTTCGTCCTTGTTTGGTACTCTTCAGCAATACTCACTCATGAGAACACCGGGGATAGGACCCTGAACCTTCAAGTTTTAGGCGAGCCTGCTGACCATCCAACCACTGATACTGGATCCATTGGTTCATCAATTCTCGCTTCCTTGGTTTCCAATGGTTCTCTAACTGATGTGATCAGACTGGAAATACGAAAATACACTATTCTCGTGTTTAAAAGTGTGTGTTAGAGAGCTGCCAAATGAAAGAGACGTAATGGATTCTGTCAACCTAAAGATGACGCTGATATATTCGTAGACAGGAAATTTTGAAATCGAAATAGAAAAAAATTACTATTTTCTTTCAGTAAAATGGACCATATCTATAATGACTTACAGTATTTTAAGTTAATATCAATAACGATTGCTTTTGATACATTAGGCTGTATAGTATGAATGACTCAGGTTCTCTAATGCCTTCTTAGTTAGTTTTCGTTTTAGTTCTAATGGTAGTATTTTAGGCGGTCGTTTAATAGGTGCTTCATCAAAGTGACAATGAATTTAGATTTTATGCAGGATTTCATCATGAGCTGACGTCAGTTGAAGAACCACTGGGAAACCTAGGAGTACTGGACAGCTGTTTCGTCCTAGTTTGGGACTCTTCAGCTAGAACGAAACAGCTGTCCAGTACTCCCAGGTTTTCCAGTGGTTCTCCAACTGATGTCAGCTCATGATGAAATCCTCCATGCAATCAAACAAAATCCCTACAAAACCAATACTTGAGAATGTAGATTTCAAAAAATTTCCACATAATTTGAAACTAGTGATTTTCTTTATTAACATTACAGATTTATCAATGTTTTCCTCGGCCCATTATTTCACCCTATAATATTGTTGTGTGTTGAAGGTTATTTCTTATACTTAACAGTAATTAGATTCTTGTTCATGAATGAGTTTTAAACTAGCCAATATTTTTTCTTATTTGTTCGCGTATATCACCAGGTTGATTTAGCTGATACTCCCGGATATGGTCTGTTAAATGAAATGTCTATCGTTGAATTGAGAGAACGCCTTGATCAGTTGAAATCCAAAAAACAACGTGAATTAGAAGAGAAAAGAGATGCTATACAAAGCCTTAAAGAGCAGAAGACGAAAGTTTTATGCGAAGCACTCAATCGAATCAGTAAGCATCGTAGTGTGAAAACAGTGGCTGCAGTTGGAGCAACATTGACTAATAGGCAGTAAGTTGTAGAGCTTTATGTGTTATTTTAATAATTATTGAAAACTAAAGTAGTTTATTTGATGTTTCCATTAGTAAAATCCATGTTAACATGACTGTGTTTGTCGTTGGGACAAGTTCTTTCCATTTATTATTGAAATATCGGTTTGTAGGCATCTGATTGGTTTCAGTTTTGATCACGATTTGACTTCAGTTAGAAAACCATTGAGAACCACGAAGTACTGGACAGCCGCCTAGTTTTAGTTTGGCACTCTTCGGCAGTATGCACTAATGACTCTGCCAGGGATCAAATCCAGGGCCTTCAGATTACAAGAAGAAATACATCACGTTATGTTACGAATTGGCAGCAGTTGGGATTGATGGGCCACTGCATTCTATTCCAGCGGCTAAATGAAACATGAGTTCGCCTGTGTTTGATCCCAACTGGAGTCATGGTCGTGTACTGTTGAAGAGTCTCAAACAATACGAAATGGTTGTTCAGTACTCCCTAGTTTCTAGTCGTCCTCTGAATGAAATCAATTCGTGGTTAGAATTGAAATCTAGCACTGAACTACTTTTAAGCTTAACTTCATTTCTATCTATCAAGGAGAACAAATATTCTGAAACAGTAAGTCTACTAGTGGTTAAGCCGAATAGAATCATACAGAACTATGACGAAAACAGTGGGTTGTGTGGGAACTCTGCATACTACGAAATGCTTTTAATTACAGAGTGACATAAACAGAACATAGGATAACTGTGCATTTGTTCGCTTTGCTGACTGAATAGACAGTCACAAATCACTACAGTAAAATGAAGAAACCTAAAGAAATATCTTATTTATTGTCAGATATGTGTCAGTGTCGTGTGTGTTTTGTTATCAAACATACTGTAATTAGGTCAATTTCATGGAAGAGACTTCAAGTATGCCATAACTTCATACAGGGAAAATCCGTCTTTAGATACCTGGTATTCTAGATAACATGGTAAGTGATGCTGAGAAAATTTCGTCGATATTCCTAATATTGTTTCACAGCTCTTGACTATAGTTACCAATGTAGTCAGATGCATTAAGGAAGAGGTAGACAGCCATACATGAACAATACAAGTAACTTACAGCGCATCATACTGAAATCATCGTATATAATCAGGTTTCACACTATAAGACACTGGTAAATGCAAAACCATGCCATCATATTTTAACACACCTCACAATGGAGTAAGATGGTCAGTTTCCCTGATCAATTTATTCGTTATTGCTAAACTGAGTTTCCAGCTGTCAGATCACTTAAGTAATAATTACTCTTGTAACGTATGCAACACGTCAGAACAGAGGAAGTTGTATAATAAGAGAGATTAGTCAGTAGAAAGAGGCCAGAGGCAAGTGCAGTCAAAAAACTGTATAATTTTTAGACAATTTTAAATTTGGTCAATGACAATTGCGACTTTAAAACCAATTGTGGAAAAGAATAGCGATTGAATTGAGACTGCTATTAAATATCATACCTAACTATTTTTTTCGACTTACAAATGTCTGAAATGCTTATTGCGAAAATAATTGCCAGCGTCTTGTGATATATCTGAATCTAAACTGTCTGCGTTATCAGTAATTTCACTGCCTGATTTTGGAATAATTCACCTTAAGGCGAAATGAAGAGGTATTCATATTTTTTCCTTAGGTGCTCAAAAAGTAATAATATTAGCTTGAGTTATACAGATGCTTTTTCGTTATCCGATACATCATTATACACAGGTTAAGTATCATCCCACTTTCTTATTCATTTATCTGTAATAATGCCGAATGAATTTTCCTTAGGGAAAAATTCAATTCATGTTCAGTGTTCTCATATCTGTACTAATCATGTAAAAATAAGGAAATATGACGTGGAGAGAGAATGATATTCTTTTTCCTCATAAATTAGTTAATTTATTCTTCCAAAATTGGTGTGAAGGTGTTTGATTGGTTTTCAGATGGATCTCAGGCTGATGTCAGTTAAAGAACAGCTGAAAATCAACGAGTATTAGACATGTGTTTTGTTTCAGTTCTGGACTTCTTAGCAGTACACACACACATTAGCTCATCAGGGACTGAGCACAGAGACTTCAGTTTACGGAGTGAGGCTGTTCATCATTCAGTTACTGAGGTCAAACTGAATTGGCGATGTATTTCAACTTCTGCCAAATCAATGGACTGGGCTTTGTAACTAGAAGGTTCCTTATTCAATTCCTCGTGAGGTTGTGGACGCGTTTTGATGAAGAGTCGCATACTAGGAAGAAACAATTATCCTTTACTTCTTGGTCTTCAGCGATTGTTTAGCTGATGTCAACTGACGATCTAATTCAAAGGAGATTCATTTATTCATGCTATGAAACATTGGAGAGTTTTGAATGATAGATGTTCAGTACAACGAAAACATTTGATAATGTTCTACAATATATCAAAGTGGTAATACTTGGCATACTAAGGGTCTATCGGAATTCGGTTCATCCCTCAATATTAATAAGTATTGGATAGTGGTTTTGTTTTTGTTTTTGAATAGCGTCTACTTTTAAATGTAGTGCTTTTCTAAATTGAAGACATAATTTAGTCTTATATTTGACTTAGCTGACTTAAACGCCAAACAATATAGGTTGATAATATATATATATATATATATTGCAACACCACCAACAGCAACAACAACAACTGACAGCAATCAGCATAAATGGGAGGAACCTGAAAGAAAAAACCTCTTTTACCTACCTGGGAAGCATCGTTTCAATTACAGGCCAGCGGAACTGACGAGGAGACCAAAGCAAGAATCGGAAAAGCAAGACAAGCTTTCACTACACTCAAGTCTGTGTGGAGGTCAACAACACTCAGCATCTAAAATAAGATCCGGATTTTCAACTCCAATGTGAAGTCAGTGCTACTATACGGATCAGAGACCTGGCGCGTCATAAAGAGCATCTCAAGCAAACTACAGACCTTCATTAACAGTTGTCTTCGCTCAATACTCAAGATCAGATGACAGGCCAGAAAAGATCAGCAATAGAGATCTCTGGGAGCGAACCAACCAGGAACCGATTGTGAAACAAATAGGCAGGAAGAAATGGAGATGGATTGGCCATACTCTGAGGAAACAAATCATCAAGTGAGTGACATCACTAGACAAGCCATTGCTCGAGTGGAACCCGAAAGGGAAGCGGCGAGTTGGTCGTCAGTGCAAGTGTGACTTGGAGGAGGTCATGTAAAGAGGAGATGAAAACGTGTGGGCAGACTTGGAGCCAGGTGAAGACTCTAGCAGAGAACCGAACGCAATGGAGACGCACGGCTGAAGCCCTATGTTCCTCTAGGAATTAAAGGATACAATAATAAATAATAATAATATTGCAATTGAATTTGAATTATATTAATGAGAGTTCTTATGACTGCTTACTACACAGAATTTTAAATTAATAATATCATCAAAAATTACGCACAGAATGTTGGTGTTAGGAGGAATATCCATAGACAAACTGGGTACTTTAGTCTTGTGTGGTAGCGAGGAGATATTGATTAGAGTTATTCACTTGAAAAGACTTGAAAAGCATTGAGAACTATAAGTCATGTTAAGAATGAGGTAGGTTGGATACTGCTGGGATGTGCAGTCATGTAAAAACAACCACTGGTCACATAACTTAAAATTTTTACATGACATTACCTACACTTAAGGCATATTTCGCAGTATGACAAAGTGGAGAAAACACAGCAGTATTAAATTTTTGATTTTGATTTTGATTATAGCTTGAAACTACACAGTATTTTTGGTACAAGTATGGAATTTTCTGCATGTGATATCGGTAGCCCAAATTTCGCAGGCCAACCATTGATATCGGGTGTGCGCCGGCAGGGGATCAAATCCCGGACCATGTGCATAGTCGGCGAGAGTCCTAACCGCTGTGCCACCGACGCAAAGTATATGATGAGAGTCGAAAACATAACGACAATTAAAGTGGCGTTCAATTCTCAGTTTTCAGGAAATAATAATATATGGACATACTCATAACAGTGTACTTGATTCAGTGCTATTTCTTCATGGTATATTTCGTGGCACAAATTTAGATGCTCATGGAGGCTACACCCTCCTTTTTCCAGAGTACATTGCTATTACAATAGCTTAACATTATTGAAATTGCCTTGAAGAGCATGTTGTGCTTGTTAGATACAACTGCAAATTTTACAGCATGAAAATTTAATGTAATATGCAATATATATGGTTTTCTATGAAACCCATTCGTCGTCTTTGGGTGCCTGTCTGCTGAAAACGTTTTTGTTTGACAGTCATCTAGACGAATTCTTCATTGTCGAATCTCAAATATCTAATTAGATATGCCTTATTCAACTTATTTTCATTTAGTTTTTACAGTACAGTCTAGATGATGCTTTAAGTTTCATAAAGAGACACTTGATTATTACACTACTATACTTCTCCTTTGTTAGGTGCTTAAAAGTCTTTTTGATGATTAGCACTACACTGGCTGCTGAGTGCTGTTCATATTCATGCACATATACCATCAAGATTTACATAGTCTTTTTATGTGGTGGATGGATCACCACTGTGGACGAAATTTCTTCTTCCTAAATACCGTCTCTGGTGTAGACGTGATATCCAACTATCGACCAAAGGGCGTGTGTACTGCTCAACAGTCCGCTCCGTCCTCCTTTATGGCTGTGAGACCTGGCCATTGAGAGCAGAAGACATGAAAAGATTATCTGTGTTCGATCATAGGTGTCTGCGTTCTATCTCCCGCGTGAAGTGGTATAATAAGGTGAGCAATATTAAGGTTAGACATCGGTCGAGTGCTAGGTAAGGCGGGGAAATCAATCGACGAGACTGTGAAATTACATCGACTGAGATGGTTGGGACATGTGTTACGTATGCCTAGTCATCGCCTTCCTCGACGGGCAATGTTAGCTGATATAGGGTCAGGCTGGAAAAGAGCTAGCGGCGGTCAAACCAAAACATGGCACCAGTCAATGAAATCCACAACAGTTAGTCTAAGCCACGTGGGAAGGTGTAGACTTCCTGGTTGGGATCCTTGGGACGGTAAAAACCAATGGTTGGAAACAATGGGTGACATGGCTCAAAATCTTTCTCGATGGCTGGTGCAGATGCATCCACTCCTTGTGACTTATGATTTCCAATTAAACTGTTTTGTTTTCCGTTATTACTATTCCTTTGTCTCACACCTCTGTTTACTGTCTATATTATGCATTTCTTCTACTTTCTTCTGTTGCTTTGTGTGCTACAAGGAGGGAGTGTGGCGACTTGAACTGCCGCACATATGTGCAAAATTCTATGTCGAAAACCGACCGACCGTAATACACAAGCAGAATCCTTATAAACTCGTCCTTGGCTATTGCTCTTCCAATAATGTGTGCTTAAGTATTTCACTGTCTTACACGAAGTAACCACTTTCACGACCGAATCCAACTTGTTGTGATCTGAAAGCAGAAAGTAGATTTCTACGTCCTACTCTCTACAGCTAACAATGCTTCTCTGAGACTCACACAGTCACAAAACACTCCAAAGGCAGGAAAAAGACGATTATTATTCGATCATAATAATATCAAAAAAATCAAAATTGCCTCAGCAGTGCCGCTGAGCAGCTATACTGTCCAGTCTAAGTACGAAACGAACACCAGGAAACAAGCAGAATATTCCAGACAAGGTGGGTTTGAAAACTCTGTCCAAAAGAATCGCACACCAACAATTCCCACAGACAGTGTCAGGTCAGAAATGATCTTCATTCGCTCAGACAAAATCACATCTCACAACACATTATCAGTGCACACACAATCATAAAGAGAAGCATTAGAATTAGAGATTTAAAAAAGACAAAGACAAATAATGTGATACACAAATTTAAAAATAATGACATAGACTGTTGGAGAAAAGTGGAGAGTAATTACAAATTCAGTTGAAATGTCGAGATAAGTATAAATATTGTGATTAGATAGTTAGGGAGGGTTTTGTTAAACAGTCTTCCCGTTACAACCGAAACGCCACTAGTTTTGTATGTCTTTGTAGGATAGTTGAATCATATGTATAAGAAGCTTTTGCATTACTGATACTTTTGTGACCAGCTAAAGACTCATGAGAAGTAACGTTTAGTTAGTGTAAATCGTGCGATAATAATCATTCTTATTTCACTGAAAATCATTCATGATAAAACAATCTGATCATCATCATTTGTTTTACAGTTGTTTTAGAAGCTTTTAAGGCATGAAAGAGAACAGAAGATTGAATCTTTTGTTTATGAGTGAATATTTCCCAACATAAAACTTAGTAATTTCTAGTTTGTTTCACTAATGTACTAATTAACTGTAATAAAACTGTCTTTATTTACCAGTTAGTATGCCATATTTTAGATGTATTTCTCTTGTATGAAGAAACAACGTCCTATTCACGATAACATACAGTATAAGGTCTTGTCTAGACTTAAAGCTGTGACTAGCATTTATGTTTTGTTGATAAAGAGATTGTTTCAACTAATAAGTCTTCATTTAAAGCCTTTACTAATATATTCGCTCATTTTTCCGGTTGGCCTTGGTCCTATTAGCGACGCATAGAGTAGGTAAATGTTTACTTACTCCAAGTCATTTTTCCATCATTTCAGTTACTAATAAATATTTTAAAAATGTTTGCTAAGCATCGAGAGAATGAAAAACACTCCAATTGATTTCTTAGACTTTCTGCATGAATTATATTTGATATGCTTCATAGCACCCGTATCTAGGTGTGTCGACCAAAATACGTCTATCATGAGTGTACCATGTACTAAAACAATGTACAGATGCTTTATGTTCTCTACTAACTAACATCCTAAATGCTTCTTTCTCCAAAAACATCGTACCTGTTGCATGGAAAGACATTAAAATAGTCCCTGTCCCTAAACGTAAAGTTTAGACCCATTGCCATCACTTCCTCGTTTCTAAAGCTTATGGAAAAACTAATACTTCTTAAACTTGAACCCTCCCTTAAAAACTTTGAAGACCCCAAACAATTTGCCTATAGACAGGGTAGGAGCACTTTAGATGCTGCAGCCATCTTTCACAACAATATCGTCTCATCATTAGATAAAGGTGCCAAATACGTCCGCTGCACGTTTCTCGACTTCACTTCTGCTTTCGACTCTGTACCTAGACGTCTCTTGCCAAGTATGCTCTCTATGACAAAAACTGAGTCCTGGGTCACTAACTGGTTGCATTCCTACTTCTCTAACAGAATGCAGTACACCGTATAAAAGGTAAATCCTCCTCTGCTGTACTCACTGAAGCCGGAGTCCCCAAGGCGCTGTACTCTCCCCACTTCTCTTTTCTTTCTTTCTACATGACTTACCATCTTCAAATGACATTAATTTTGTCAAATATGCTGACGACCTGACTGTATCTTTGCCTGTCAAATGTCAAAGTGACTGCTCTAAACTAATTGGCTTTCTATCAGAAATCAGCCAGTGGTCCAAGGAAAATGGTTTTATCTTAAACCCCTCCAAATGCCATACAGTCAATTTCACCTTGAGGCATAAATCCGACCTAAACAAACTGGTTAGCTCTCACGAGGTGTGCAACATAGATGGCACTGAAATAGAAACCAAGTCGGAAATTAAATACCTAGGTGTCATTTTATCTGCTGATCTTTCCTGGTCGTCTCATATCTTGACGATTTCTAAGAAAATATTCCGTCTTACCTTCTACATCAAGAAGTTAAAACATTCTAGTATAACCCAACCCTTACTCCTACAATTCGTTAACTCTCGCATTCTGCCTATTATTCTCTATTGTTCCCCCTTAGTTTTTCCAGGGCTACTGAAGAAAGACTATAACATATTACGCAGGATGTTAAAGGTTGTCAGCAGGGTAAGCAAAGTGCCACTTAACCAGCTTGTTACTATTCTGGTTGACAGGCACATGGACTCATGTGAAAAATGGGTCAAATCCATTTTATCTAACTCACACCACCCTCTTCACTCACAACTCTCCCCCTGCATCTCATCAGGAAAAACCAGGAGCATATATAGAAAACTAAATGCTCGCACTCGCAAGTACAAAAACTCAACCATACCCTACTTAGCTCGCGTTCTGTGTGATAAAGAAAGCATTAGGCGTGACACCTATAATTCATTAAATAGTCAGTAGTACAACTGGATCTCGTCTTTCCAACTCATATCATTTATAGGTACAACATTTTCTTTCTTTCTTTTCCCTTTCTCTTTTTTTCTGTTATGTGCTGCTTCGTTTCTTTCTCTCGCTTACGCCAGTAAATATGACAGCACCTACTTTTCTAACACCTTCAAACACTGTTCAGCGTTGGCTTTGCTACCGACATCCCAATATGTTATTGTCATAATGAACTGAGATTTCCTTAATCTATGTAAAATTCTATTTATTGATAATGTACTAACTGGATGCAATATTTTAGTAAAAAATGCTGAGAATTCCATTCTGTATCACAAGCACCGTTTTGGAATAAAGCATATTATTATTATTATTACCATGGTCTGTGAGATGAATAGTAGTAGGCAATATTGAGGCTAGGCGTAGAGTACTAGTTAAGTTGAGATTAGTCGGTCTTTGAGGTTGCTGAGCTACACTGACTGTGATGGCTAGGGCATGTATTAGGAATTTCGAACCACCGTCTTCCGCGACGGTTGATGTTGCCCGACATCGAATTAGGTTGCAAAAGAGTAAAGAATGGTCAAACCAAAAGCTAGAATCAGTCCATGAAGTCTCTAACAGTTATTTTGATCCACGTAGGGAGGTGTATTCTGTCTGGCTAGGTTCCACAGGATTCTAAGAATCAGTAACTGGAGACTATTGGTGATATGCCTCCAAATCTTCTGCAACGCCAAAGATGCATGTACTCCTTCTGATCTCTGATATCTACTTAAATTCCAAGCTTTTCCATGTTACTAATCTTTCTCACATTTATGCTTATTATAGTTCTTCTGCATTTCTTTTTCTCTCCTTTATCTACCTCTGTGTGTTACAAGAATCCCAGCACTTCTGTGCATAGGTCTATATTGATAACTCAATCAGTTAGCCAGTCAATTTGCCGGCTGGATGACACAACTTTCATGGTGTATCGTAGACTATATGTTTTGAAATATTATCAAAGCATGCCTTTATTAAACGACATGTCACTTTATGCCTTTTTTGGACATACCATTCAACAATGGTTACAGCGATTTAAGCAAAACTTTAAAATAAGCTGAAAAATAATATCCGTTTTCCACATTGTATTCAACTGATACTTACGAATGGAGAAGATCATGTTGTGCTTTAACTTTTTAGGAAATAATGCTAAAATAACGAACCTATGGATATTTAGAAGCAGTCTTTTCGAATTTCTTATTGATTGAGTTGAAATGTTCCCACCGTAGGTGTTCATTTGAAGGAAAAACACAACTGTTTTTGACTGTCATAGGACGGCTATAGAGTAAGTGTTTTAACTTCTGGTCCTTCCTTCTCTAGCCCTTGTTAAATCTATTTTACAGTCAATAAACAACCTCAAGAATCAATGATAAAAGGCAGGTTTTATATCAGAAAAAACTAATTACTTATATATAAACAATCTTTATTGTTTTGACTTGTAAATCTTATTAAGATTTTATGTTCTAATAGTCAAGATGTTTATCTAAATTACATTTTACCTGTATGTAGGTAAATAATTGTTATACAGTTTATATAAAAGACTTTTAATTTAAACACATTTACTTGTACTTTTTGTCTACCATAGAAATGCATCCACTATGAGCAATCATATTTTCACAAAAGAAGATATTTATAAAAGTGATCCTCTACTTCAACAGATGATTGATCACTTAACTAAACAGAAAGAAGAAAGATGGAAACAGTTAAATAGTGATCACTCACTTGCACTGAGAAAATATGCAAATAAAGGAGTTAAAAGGAGGGAAGAGAAAGTAAGTGAAATGTTATTGTACAACTATTTTTTTCAAATTGGCACCGGCCTAGTCTTTCTGTAGAAAACACGAATCGTTTGTATGATTATGCACAAAATTAGGCTAACAAAATTTATTTTTAAAAATATTGTAAAGTCTGTCAACCTGCTGTCTGAATTTCATGTGATAAATTGAAGATGCGTTGTAGCCGCATTTGTAACAAAAGTAGAATTTACAAAATGGGTTTGTTTACAGAGAGATTTTACTTGATAGTTTGCAGAAGACATTAGGATTATTACTTAATTGAATTTTAGATTTTTCCGTCGATTGATTGGACCGAAGTGCTCGGTTTCAGGTTGACATGTTGGCTTCTTGTGCGGAGGTTTTGACGATTCTAATTACATGTCCAGACATCATCGAAGTATCTGCACAAGAAGACGACATGTCAACTTGAGACCGAGCACTCCGGTCCAATCAATCAACGGGAAAATCTAAGACTGAACTAAATAATTAATATGACCCGTCGCACAAGTGGTCTAGTGGATAACGCTTTGGCACTTGAAACTACGGGCACTGGGTTCGAGCATCAGTGGGAACATCATCTACACTGGGGGATGCAGTTACATCCAGATGACGAGTCCCAAATAGGACGAAATGCGCATCCTGGATTCCACTGGTAGTCACTATCCACCAATTACATTATGATTATATTTTATTATTAGTCCCTTAGGTTCAAAGTGGGACGTCGGGGTTAGACAGAATATCACCATTTCACTCTTTTTTCCGATGTCTTTATTAGTTAACTCCAGAACTAATGATTAGCTTTTATCTCCCACGATCACCTTCATGTCACCTTCTGATCACTGCATTTGTGGTTTCCCATTTGGGTTCCAATCGAGGCTTTGCTTGGTGCGTGATGTCACTCAAATACCTCTTCAGCGTGTGTTCAACCCATCTTTATTTTGTTGGCATGTTTTTTAGGCTATGAGTCCATGGTTGGTACACTGTCAGAGTTCTTTGTTACTAATCCTTTCTAACCGGCAATTTAGTCTTCAGTACCTACCAGTTAAGGCAGCTGTCGATAAAAGTTTGCGTCAGTTTCGTAACGCTTTCAGAAATGCACGCACCAAGTCTCTGAAACATATAGAAGAACTGACTTGACAGTAGTGTTGAAAATTTGAACTTCACTCCTTATTCTGAATGCGGTAGATTTCCGTGGTGATTTCGGAGTAGTGAAGGTTTGTCTTGCTTTCTTGATCACATCCTGGTTGTCTTTGTCATCCTCATACATGCCATTTGTAGCTGAAACGATTCTGAAGTGAAAGAATTACTTTCATTGGATGTTTCCCGTTGATGGTGACTGGTTATTGTTGTTAGTTGTCTGGTGTCTTAATCACCTCCATGTTCACTTGAAGTTTTGTTTTTGTTGGCTGCAGCTTCCGTCAAATTGTTGCTTTTCGCCTGTATATCTTCATGTTTGTGTGAAATTAGATATAAATCATGTTCGAAGTTCAGATCTACTAGAAACTTCTTGTCAGACTGACGTATTCCCGTTTTACTGCTCTCCATGTTCTTTTGAGAAATCTAGTTTACCACAGTCAGAATTATCATCGTTGGTTGTAGACGGCCCTTTCTTACCTCCATCTTCACTTCAGAGGTTAAATTGAGCCTTCCATTGTGAAATACGTGGTATGTGGCATCATAAGTTCATGGTCAACGCTATCGAAGTCATTTTCGAAGTCGGTGAAGTTGAGGTTAAGAGTTGACTGCCATTCTATATTCTGTCGATGATGACAGGTAGCGTTGCAGTTTAATCAGCAAATGATTTGCTTTTCCTGAATCCAGCTTGTTTCGAACAGATACTTACATACAAAGTATCTTTTAGTCATGTGAAATTTTAATGTTTTGATTTTTTATCACCTTATATCAAAATAACATTGACATAACAGTTACATTTTGTGATAGACTGTTATCAGACTTCGATCTAATGATCACTTCGCTTTCACAAAATCATAGACACGAATAAAAGTATATTTCCATAAGAATATCTTAATTATAGGTTACGTTTCAGTCTAAATAATTTTACTTATTTGAGAAGTTATACTAACTCAAATGAATTGTTTCTTGACGAAGTTCTAGGACAAGTACGAGTGGCTCATTCGGCATCTGATAACTTGTCACGTCTTTGGCGTAGTCATGATATCTGGGTACTTAGCAAAGTAGTATTTATTGTACGATGACTTGTTCTATTTTATTTATTGCTGTTAAACATAACAGAGTTTGAAGACATGAAAAGACTAGATTTTGTTTTGGCCATAGATGTCTGCGTTGAAGTTTCTCGTTTAAAGCGATAAAATGTGATCAGCTATAGCGAGGTCAAGCGTGCAGTCAACAGATGAGATTGCGAAACTCTGGCTGCTGGTGTGTTTGGGGCACTTACCATATGCATGCCAAATCACTGCCTTCTTTGACAAGGAACATTCGCTGAAGTTAAATCACTAGCCCAAATGAAAGTGAAGACTCACTGTCGAATATTTCTTTACGTTCTTTATAATACTTTACGCTTTCAAATAATTCATTCAAAAGATTGAAACTGTTACAACTGTATTAGACGGCCATAATAAATTAAATACATTAATTCTAATTCATTCCTGCGAGATATTGTGCAGGTAATTGTGAAGTCTGTGGCACAAAGGTAGGATGCTCACCAAACACTCATATGGTCCGGGGTTCGATCCCCGGCCGACTCACCCCTTTACCTCACTAAGCCAGTTATAAGACTAGTAAAGATGGAAGGTCGGGCATGAGGCCAGCAACCCACATACGTAAAAATAAATGGCACTGCTACCGAAATTTGAAGGCTCTAGCTTGTAGCCCTATATTACACAGGGAACGTAAAGGAATAAAAAATATGGTGGTCTTATTGATTATGAAGAGTAAGTTATGTGGAGATTTGTTGTAGTGAGAAGATAACGATTACAGATGGCTGAACAGATTCCGTTAAAACACTGTGTTGACATTATAACAATCTTTTACATCTGAAAGTTAGTTTTCTGACTCACATGTTTTGGTTACATTAACATTTATATTGTCAAGTTGTTCTGTTTTCTGCCTTCTTTTTCAATACAAGCCTTTCAAAACATTTTGGGATGAAATGGAACGTAGTCGAGAAATGAAGTCAAGAGTCGAAATGGGTGCTACACATCATCCTTCTGAACATCTGATAACAAGTTTAACCGCGTGAAAGAAAATCACTCCATCAAAATGATGAATTATACGAGAATACATATATATATATATGCATGTTTTTCAGTAGATTCATTTTTATCATCCTTAGGTAAATTGTTCAGTTTTACATGATGAATGATAAATGATTACTGATATTTCTGCAAAACACTTTGTAATAAATCAGTTTATTTTGCATTGTGTTCAACAAAACAAACATGATGTTTAACACAATGAATTTGTATTTCTTTCTTGAAATGGCGGGAAGAAGAGATGGTAAGAGAGGACTGACATGAAAGCGAGTGTATATTTTCAATGTTTACCGGCAGTGACTGATTTATAGATTTCCCAACGTTAGTTTGTAAGCGTGTGCACCTCGGTTTCAACGGTATTCCTGTTGTAACTCTGTACTATTTGTTTTATTATGATCTGTCGTCAATGGTGAGTAGCCAGTGTTGTAATGCTAGGATTTAAGCAGCTGTAGAACTGTAGTGATGAAGTTTGTAACGGATCAGTTGCTTAGATGTCATGAAAAAATGGATACTGAAGTTTTGACCAACAAAAACAAGCACCTTTTACTATCAATGGGAAAAATTTGAAGGTAGTCATCAATGCCATTTATGTAGGCAGTATAATTTCAACTGTAGGCAATAACACGAATGAAGATATCAAAGCCAGGATCAGAAAAACAAGACAAACCTTCATTAATCTAGAATAGGTCTGGAAATCAAGTGCACTTAGCAGAAAGAACAGAGTTCGGATTTTCAACACTAATATTAAATCAGTGTTTCCGTATGATTCAGGGATTTAACTTGTCATCAAATCCTTTTCAACAGGATTCAGTGTTTCATCAACATCTGCCTTTGCTCAATAGGATCATTACCAAATATGGTTAGAAAGGATTAGAAACATGGTAATTTAGCAACACATCAACTGAGAACCTGCAGCCCAAAGAATATTCCGAAGGAAATTAAGATCGACTGGACACATGCTGAGAAGACAGTTGAGGGACATCGTGAACCAGGCTAGAGATTGTGACGGAGCTGTATGGGGAACGATGAGTTTGGTGTTGGTCTGACGGTGACATGGAAGAGATGTTGTAAGGAGGAGATGAGAACTAAGAAGAATAGCAGAAAACAGAAAACCATTGAAACGTACTGTTGAAGTCCTATTTTCAGCTCGGAACCTTAGGGAACAATAATAATAAACCAGTTAATTTAGAACATTTTGATTTTAACGAGTCTTTTGAATGCAGACTAGCTGTCAGCTAGTAAGTGGCCTAGCTGTCTGATCTTAATGTTGATTGTCGAAATTTCCTTATTTATTCCATCAAGATGAATACGTAGTTCACAGTCTGTATTTCATTTTGTTGTGAATCACTTAGATTAGCCTACAGAAGGGAGGATGTGGCATTTCTCTAACTATGCATTGCTTTAATTCTCCGTCATTCACCTGAATATTTTGAGATCAAAGCGAATTTTTCCAGGATGGTAACTCATATACGAATTTAGTATATAAATGACCGGTTCATGAATTCATTTACTATGCGTTGTTAGTCTAGAAGATTAGGACTCATTACGTATTCATTTCAACTACTTCATTGCCTTCATGATTTTCGCTACGGTCATGAGTTCCTAGGGCATTTTATCAGATGCAATTTAATATGAGTATTTAGCTGCTCTCATGTTTATGAGTATTGCTTCGACGCCATGTGTATTATTACTATCCAGGCACGAAATTAATTTCATGTGTAGTATTAATTGCCTAATTTTAATTGAAAGGCGATGATTATCGCTTGAGTGGTTTCTCGGTATCTAGTTATTAAATACTGAGCGGTGAAATAATTTGTATTCTCATACTTTTTGATATAAACTATGTACTTTTATCATCATTACTGCTTCACTATTACATGGCAGTTTTAACTATCCTGTAAGAAGAGGCCTGTGTTTGTATCAGAGCAAAATAACTGCTTAACGAATTTGAGTGTTTTGTATAAGTGATTCGATGGGTTTAAAAAAAAACTAAACCTAAAACATTTTGGCAGACAGCGGGCAATGAGAAGACAGGCATGAAATGGACCTATACAAAACAACTTGTCTGGAAGATATGCAAGTGAAAAGCAACAAGTTGGCAGAAGAAGCATCAAATATTGGACTTCAGGTGGACGTAGAGAAAACATAGGTATGGAAGAATCCTGGCTTACAGTAACAACAACAGATAACTATTAGCATAAATGGGCGGAATCTGAAAGAGGCAATCTCCTTTACCTACCTACCTGGGAAGCATCGTTTCAAATACAGGCGGAACTGATGAGGACATCTAAGCAAGGGTCGGGAAAGCACGGCAAGCTTTTATTACTCTCAGCATGAAAAATAAGATTCGGATTTTCAACTCCACTGTGAAGTCAGTGCTACTTAATATACGCATGAGAGACTTGGCGCGTTATGAAGGGCACTTCAAACAAACTACAAATATACAAGAAAAAATAAGGGTGGACTGGCCATGCTCTGAGAAAATCATCAAGTGACATTACACGTCAGGCCATCGCTCGAGTGGAACCCGAATTAGAAGCGGCGAGTTGGTCGTCAGTGCGGTCATGTGAAAAGGAGATTAAAGCATATGGGCGGATGTGGAGGCAGATTAAAAACATTGGCGGGGAACCGAACGCAATGGAGACGCGCGGCTGAAGCCTTATTTCCCTCTAGGAACTAGAGCAGAAAATAGTAATGAAACATTCTATAAAGTCATATTTAATTCAAGAACTTAACAGTTCAGTGTAAGATAATTTATTTATCAAAAAATACCTATTGTTATAATAAAGTTTGAATGTATTAAGAGGTAAACCAATGTAATGTAACTAGTTTCTGTTACGCAAATCTCTACACACAGTAGCTGATTTGTCTATTCATGTGATGTAAAAAGCTTAAATTGTTTGTAAACTGGCATTACAAGATTATTTACGATTATTATATATGTGTATACACATATATATATATATATATATATAATGAAGTGACAACCCATGTCAATATGCGTGATAGGCGTTTCTTAAATATTCACGAAGTGTATATAAATGTGTATATATATATCTCGGAGAATAAACTCTATGGCATATTTATCCAGCTTGTCGTTCGGCACACCAACTTTTGACCTAATTACAAGAATTTAGTATTTCCAATATGTGTAGAGCCATCACAATAATATGCTGTTTATTTTTTCACTGATATTTACAGCAGGAAAGTTGAAAGATTATTAATTGTGATAAGTTAATCGATTAAATTGTTGTAAAAAATACAATTGGTTAGTTATTTGATGTAAGAAGTTAAGGGGATGGATGTATTGACAAACACGCAAACTACTCACTTTCAACTCATTCTAGAAAGGAAACAACCATAGTTTAAACTGAATGATATGAATGAAATACGTATGGTTAGATTATTTGTGTATAGATAGATTAGTGAAACTGATGTGTTTACCTTCAGAAAATTGATTAGTTGATCCAGTGAATTTTAAACGGCCTCATCTATGCAAAAATTACTAAGGTAATTATTATTAATAGATAATGGTGAAATTAAAACTATCTGTTCCGCATCATTATATGCCGGTGACAGACTATACTTACTGCGCAAAATGTTTACCGACCGAGATTAGTTTTTATTACTTTAGAAGACTTTCAGTAAGGCATAAAAGTATGACATACAAGTCATTTGGACCATCCAGTAGGTAAATTGAAGTAAAATCTTTTTAAATGAACGTAGCTTTTGTGTTATAAATTTGGTTGTCTTCCTCATGCAATTTAATCTCTTTTATATTAATGAATTTTTTGCAAGCCATATCGATTCCCCTTATGCCGACATCATCAGTAAAGCTTGATATCTAGTATGATTTAAGGCAGTCCATTTCAATAGGCGAAAAATTAGCATTTCTGATGACTTTTGCGTCGGTGGCACAGCGGTTAGGACCCTCGGCGACCATGCACATGGTTAGGGGGTCGATCCCCGGCCACCGACGCACTTTTTTACGTCGCTTACCCAGTAATAAAAAGCTGATAAAGAGGAAAGGCTGGGCATGAGGCTAGCAACCCCGTCCCATAAAAATAAACCCCACTGCCACCGAAACTTCAAGCCTCTACCTTGAAGCCCTATGTTCGACTGGGAATGTGAAGGAATAAAAAGAAATGACTTGTAAAAAACTTTCCTACCTAGAAACCTAATTTACCTATTTATTTATGTATTTGATGTGCATGCAGTCTTGCTAAAGCTGTTTGTTGAAGCTTAAGACTGTTTACTGTTTCAGTCATGAACACCGCTGATATTCTTTAATCCTATCAGAAAACTAAAAACAGATGTGTGTTGATCACCTTTCAGCGTGGTTATCTGCTTTAGATGTTGTTCAGTATTGAAGAGATAGTAGTGATCTTCCTGTTTCCTAGAAAATTGATGTGATATTTCATTGGCAAGGCAAAAAATGTCGATAATTGTTGCGAACAAATCGTTGGTGTGTGTGAAAACAAACAGAGAGTTAGTAGATTCTTTTAATTCCATAGATTTACAAAATTCCAACACTGAAATCTCACCTACATGTCGTGGGTGAACTTCATAGGTAACCGATTTCTAAGCGGTATTCTTATAAATATGAACTGAGTTATACGATGGTAAAGCGGTAATAAGATAGCAAAGCTTTCCAGAACATAATTTATCGAGGTGATAAAAGTATGGCTGAATATGTATGCGGTGAAAAGCAGTTTTGCTATCAGCACTTCAGGTGGTGATGGGTTTGTATAAAGAATTAATTTAAAAGACTGACTAGTGAACAAAGAATATTCTTTTCGATAAATGTTTCATCAGGTTCTACATTTATGTGACTAGAATAATTACAGAGATATTGTTATTATCAAAATTACTGTTTTTAATTACTGTGAAACAGTAGCATCGACAGTTTACATTTCAAAATCATCAGTAGGAGGTTACATGCATCAATTTAGCACTAAACTGAATATCAGATAATTTAAAGGAAGTA